ACAACAAAATATAAATTAGAAACTCCTAATAATAAAGTAATTAAAAAGACCAGTAGTCGTACATAGGATGTTAGAACAAGGCTTAATTCTAAAAATTAATATTGATATATGGTGCTTTTGTTTTAATGAACTATTAATAATAAATGTGTTTTTAGTTATAGTCATACTTAAAGATATCGTTTTAAAATTTTATTCCCTCGTAATATTTTTATTTTCTTTAAATGTTAGAGCAACTTTTTTTATTTTATTTTAATTCAAATTTTATATAGGTAAGCGTTTTTAGATACTTTTTTTTTTCTGGTTTTTAAGGAAACTTATATAGTTGCAAATTGAAAATATAAATCTTTTACAAGCATTTAAAATGGATTAATACATCCGAGATTTTGAATATCCCACAGTGCCTACCTATAGCATAGAAACAACTGATAAATGCACACAGATCTTAAGTTTCAATGAAAAATAATAATAAAATTCAAATTTTGCACATGAACATTCGGAGTATAAACAAAAATATAGATGAGTTCTCGATTAAGTTACGAAATCTTCGACCAATGGTAGATTGTATAATTTTAAGTGAAACCAGAGAAGTACATGACTCAAGCCTTTTCGCAACACCCGGATATGATATCTTATATAACGAGAGTTATTTCAATCAAAACGATGGAGTTGTTGCTTATGTACAATCGTCTCTAAAATATGTGTTTGAAATCGTACCTATGTACAACACAAACGCTTTAATAATTACAATAAATTTAAACAATGAGAGAGTAAGGTTAATTACATTTTACAGATCTTCAAACTCGGACACAGCTGAGTTCAATATAAGATTAAATGAATTTTTTGAAAAGCATGATAATGAAAAAGAAAATTATAATATTATAATAGGAGACATGAACATCGATCTGCTACAACCGAATAATAACAATACCACTGATTTTTTAAATATATTAAATGAATATGGTTACATATCAACCATAAATGAACCAAACAGAGTACAAACTAAGAGTTAGTCTTGTCTAGATCATATATTCCTTAAAACTAATATCAACAATTTTAATATTATTATACCAATCGTCCTGAAAACAACTATAACGGATCATTACACAACAATTCTTCAAATAGTAACAGGTAAAGTAGAAAATAAACAAACATATAGTCTGAGATTCACAAACGTTATAAATACTTCCAAGCTACACTTTAAATTTCAAAATATCTGCTGGGACTCCATTTATAAACAACATCCAGAAGCTGCAACAAATGAGCTAATTAAAACTATTTCAAATAATATTAAAGCTTGCACAAAGAAAAAACAATTGTTAAGAAAAAAATATAAAATAAAACTCAATTAATAAAAAAAAACAAAATGCATGTTGATCTACAAAAAAATCCCGATAATCTCGATTTAGAAAATAATTATAAAAAATACAGAAATAAAGAAAATGTTTTAATAAAAAAAGCAAAATTTGAATATTATCAAAAACAAATTATTGTAAATAAAAATAGTTGCAAAAATCTGTGGAAAGTTGTACAGCAAATAAGCAATAAAAAAAAAGAAAAACAATCCATTGGCAATATCAAGCATACAGATACAAATGAACCCCTTGCGGAAAAATTGGATATTGTCAATGAATAAACAGAAATTTCAGCGAAATTGGTAAAAAACTGGCAAATCAAATTAATAAAGATAAAAAATATAAACATAACAGAAAATGTCATCAAAATTCATTTGTTTGTGTACCAATTGAAGAAAATGAGGTAAAAAATATAATTTTCAATTTAAAAGACAACAAAGCAGTTGGAATTGATAATATAAAAGCGGAAACACTTAAACAAATCTGCTGCTACATTGTAAATCCATTTACTTTTATTTTGAAAAAATGTATTGAACACTCCATTTACCCATCAGTTTTCAAACAATCTATTGTTATCCCTATATATAAAAGGAGATGTGACCAATACGAACAACTACCGGCCTATATCCTTGATTACTCATATCTCGAAAGTATTTGAAGAACTAATTAAAAACAGGCTTTCGTCTTATTTAAATAAGTATCAAATACTTTCAAAACAACAATTCGGCTTCAGAGGAAAAAATCCCACTCAAGATCCGTCATTGCTCTGACTACAATGACAAAAGACTAACTTAATGAAAGCAAGGATTCAATACTTGGCCCTACTTTGTTTAATATATATATATGGGCTGTTTTCATTGAGGACCAGTGAAAAAATTATCGGATTTGCAGATAATACGGCTTTATTTTTTCAGGCGAATAATTGGGAAGATTTAAAACAAATAGCCGAGAAAGGATTCTTGCATATCAAGAAATGGTTAGATTATAAATTATTAACAATAAATATAAGCAAAACGAATTATCTACCTTTGAGTTGTAACTCTTCTGGTTCTCCTACCTTTGAAATATAGATAGATAGATTTATTTATTGACCATTTTCAATACAGATTGTACATACAGGTCACAAAAATATAAAATATAAAGGATATAAAAATATAAAACATATAAAAGCATATAAAATTATATACAGGTCACATAATACAAATACAAAATGTCAAAGAATATAAAATACAATACAAAGATATAAAAAGTGTAAAAAATTTAAAACCATACAACTTTAACAATAGATTTACACATCAAACAGAAACTGGTTTATACAGATAAAAAGATTTTATACAATAAAAAAAAATCACATATAGTTATTTATATATTAAAACATAATTAAAATTAACCAATTTTTATATAAAATTCATTACCACTATAAAAACATTCCTCTAGTAAGAAATCTTTTTCCATCTTCTTGAATCTGTTTGTACTGAAGGTTTTGATGTCATTTTCCCTGTGATGAGCTTGAAACTTGTTATATAAATTTGGATCTATTTTTAACCGACTTCAAAAAAGGAGGGACATATGGGGAACCAAGTTTTTGCAATGTCTGGTGTAATTGTGGAAATCTCCATGTGTGTTTAAGGAATTCACATTATTGTGTACAACCAACAGACTTTCCAATATATAAATACATGGCAATGGTAAGATTTGTAGCCTTTTAAAGAGCGGTCGACAGTGGGCGTCGTACTCTGCAGCATTAACTATGCGCACCGCTTCTTTTTGTATTACAAACGTTTTATAGGCATAACTAGCATTATCCCAAAGGGCAATTCCATATGTTAAAACACTATGTAGTAGTGCATAGTATATTGTTTTTAGGGCTAGTGTATTAAGAAAATTGCGCATTTGTCTAAGAGCAAATACCTGCGAAGACGCCTTTGTGCATAGAACATCAATGTTTTTCCCAATTTAGGCCGGCGTCCAGTGTTACCCCCAACAATTTAACAGGATTATCTTTATTGTCTTAACCAATGCAATGTCCATAGAACCTAAAAATCAAATTAAATATTTGGGAATAATTTTTGATCCACACATGAGATGGGATAAACATATCACAAATTTACATAACAAATTACGAAGCCTCCTATAAAAATTTAAGAAACTAAAAGATCTCTTACCTGTGAGTTATCTAAGAAAATTGTACATTGCATTAGTAGAAAGTCATTTGCAATATGGGATTCTAGCATGGGGTGTAGCCCTTAAAACACATATCTATCCAATAGTGGTAATTCAAAGAAGATTTTTTAAATAATATTATCTAAAAGAAACATATCCATCGATATTTTATATAATCAGATAGAGACATAAGGCAGCTTTACTACCTCTGTTCAGGAAACAGACATCATGTACATAAACAACAAGCTCCAATTGCAATTCATGAATATAGTAATCGGAACAAACATTACTCTGTTTATGTCAAAAACCTGTACTCAACGGTCCTATTCCTATATGGCACCGAAATTATACAATACAATTCCGGAAAACATAAAAATCATTGATTATATATACTTGTTCAAAACATAGCTAAAAGATTTTATTTTCAAAAGCGAGCGACATATTATTGATGATTACTTCTTATACTAGCAATATATACTTAAATTTAGCCAAATTAAAAATAAGTTATCTGTTTAAATTTATCTTGGTTAAGTAATATCATAGTTAGAAATGTATCAGTACCTATTGTGTGATTTTATTATTATTGTTATTAATTATTATTAGATTTTACTCTTCTGTAACCTTGTATTTACTTTTGGCCAAAACAAGTGTCTATTATATACTTATTGGAATCCAAAGCTTCATTCTTGACATTACTCTGATATAGTTATTTATCTATTGCATTTATTGTATAAAATTACCTGTATTATGTATTTTATTGAATAAAGCAGATTGTTAATAATATTATTATAAGTTTTTGTGTCAAGCAAAACCGCTGTACACAAATTTCGTAGCAAAATATATGTCTCTTCACTTAACGAACATAACAAGATTACTTTTTGCCGTTTAGAATGTTCGATATTATTTGCAATACATAGCTGTTTTAATCGCTCTTTAAAAACTAGAAAATCCGACACTTTATATTTATATTTGTCCATATTAAAAATTGGACATAGAACTGAAGCTTCCGTGGCTTGATTTTCTAAAATTATTTTGAATGCCCCGAACTGGGTACCACTTTCTATCAGTTTTTTTAAGTTACTTAATACACCACTGGAATAATTTGATTCACGGTTTAACTATTTACGAGTTCGACACTCTGGTCTGTTTTATTGTAGTTGATGAATAAAACACCTATAATAATTCTAATATTTATTCTTTAACTACCGAATTCAAACCGGCTTGTCCAGCAGCATACCTATGTTCTTCGTCGATACAGTTTTATCGCGAAGTCCATATAAAAACCCATACCAAGAAATATTGAACAGGGTCGGTGTGAGGTTGCAAAGCCTGTATATATCAGAAAGTACCAACCCAAAACATTTAAATTTTACAACCAACTCAATTATAATTTTTCTCCATGGTTTTTTGTTATTTGCAAACAACTTAAAAAGTAGGTCATATTTTTTCCCTTTACTAGTATCTACCATTTTTTTTTTATTTCAGATATCAAATTACCAGAAACAATGTCAGACCAGACGTGCTTTTACTACTCTTCGTTCTTCTCTTCGGAACAGTATTTTACACATGTACATACCAGGCAATTTGTATATACTTTCAATCAGTTAAACCTTTAGCTAATTTAACCATAATAAAGGACAAAACTACTGATGGATTTGTTGTAAATACACCAGGTTGTAAAATTCCAGATTTCCATCCCTTTGACAATCAAGTAAAAAAGTTCATAAAGAAACCAACAGCGCCAGTTTGTAATAACGGAACACCTGCTTTGTTCGAATCAGATCTTACATCTGTTTATTTATTGAACTCATCTTTAGCTGCTTATAACATTACTGATAAACAACAACTCAGTTGTTGTTATAATGTTTTCTGGAGAGTTGATGTACCGGAACATAATACCGATAACAATATAGTATATAGTGAAGATTGCTACAATTTTACAGAAAAAGTATTCATCGATTATGATTTTATACGTGTAACATGTCAATATAAAAACAAAAGTATTTATAAAGACATGTTTTCATTTGTGCCAATAAGTAGCATAAAACGTTTGCCAGACACACAGTACCCAGCTCCTCTAAGTGTACTAATGATTGGTATAGATGCTGTATCAAGACTGAATCTTCATAGACAGCTAGGAAAGACCGTTAATTATATTAAATCAATAGGAGCTTACGAAATGTTAGGCTTTAATAAAGTAGGAGACAACACTTTTCCCAATCTTATGCCTGTACTAACTGGCCAAAATGAATCTGAACTGATAAAAAGTTGTTGGCCCGAAGAACATGATCATTTTGATAATTGTTCGTTTATTTGGAAAGATTTCAAGCAGCAAGGTTTTGTAACGGCTTACGGTGAAGATGCTTCCTGGATGGGTCTTTTTAATTATCAAAGACGCGGTTTTCACAAGCAGCCCACTGATTATGGATACAATTATTTTAGTAGGCACGTTGAACACGAAATAGGTAATGTAGGTTTTATGAATGTTGATTTATGCGAGGGAGCCAGATTAGTTTACAAAGATTTTCAAAAGTACATAATAAAATTCGTAACCACAATGAGTGAAAATCAGTTACCCTATTTCGGATTCTTTTGGGGGGTAAGTTTGTCACACGATGAACTCAATATGCCTTCACTCGGAGATGATGATTATTTCAATCTTTTCAAAAACTTTAAGGACCAGGGTTTCCTTGAAAACACAGCTGTAATATTTCTGAGCGACCATGGAATTCGGTGGGGTGGTATTAGAGAAACATATCAAGGAAGAATGGAGGAAAGATTACCTTTTGTGTTTGTGCTTCTTCCAGATTGGTTTAAAATTCAATATCCTCAAGCCATACAAAATTTGGCTAAAAATACTAGAAGACTAACTACGCCATATGACTTACATGAAACTCTTAGAGATCTCTTAAATCCATATAATATGACAGAGAATATAACACCAAATGCAAAAGGAATAAGTATGTTCAAAGAAATTAATGGTGCTAGAACCTGTAAAGATGCTGGAATAGTTAGTCATTGGTGTACTTGCCAACAAAGTGTTGATGTTAACACCAAAAATGCCATAGTTATTAAATCTGCATCCATTGCTGTGAATCACATTAACAAACAGCTTGAAGGATATGCCCAATGTGCAAATTTGGTATTAGCTGAGATAACTAATGCGAGGTTAATGACACATAAGGAAGAAGGACTTACTGGTATTAACAAAATCCAAGATTATCTAATTACTATTAAAACAACGCCAGGTAATGCTCACTTTGAAGTTACTGTTAGATATAAACCTGACGATAAAGTTTTTAATGTTATTGGTAGTGTAAGTAGGTTAAATCTTTATGGAAATCAAAGTTCTTGTATAAGCGACTTCCATCTAAAATTATATTGTTATTGTAAAAATATTTTGCCGATTTAGTTTATTTAAAGTAGTTATTGTGAAAAAAATTAAAATCTGTAAGCTTTACTGAGTAACTTATTTATTTATTTTTATATTGTAACAAATAAAATCATGTATTGTCTACTGTTGTTTTAATATTTTTTTTTTTTTGTAAAAAGTTAAGAAAAAATGTAATTTTTGCTGCTACTATATATTTTTATTCAATACGTTCAATAGTGGGCTATCTTATAATTCCGTTATTTTATCATAGATAATTCTATAATACTGGTTTTGCACACTGGAACTAACATGTCATCTATTTCTTGCCGATGAGTATTAATATGGACGAAACCGTTCCAAGAATGATGTTCTCCTTAGTAAGCAAAATCGAAAGAAGACTGTTGAAATTAAATTTCTATTTTTGCTGTTTTCTTTTGTATATAATTCAATACCTTTTGCAATATTAGCCAAGGGAGTAGTTGTTTTCCGAAGCGAAACGGTTTGTCGTATTTTTTGTGTAGCAAAATTCCCTATTTAGTTACTGGGTTACCAAAAATTAATCATATCCACTCAACCAATAAATAATCAAAATTGAACTAAAACCCTGTGGGGAATTTTGATATTTGTGATTTTTTACATATATTGGAAACAGTGTTAAATGATCACGGGACACAGTTTACGAAAAAAATGGACCGTAACGTTAAATGAGTTAGGAGTCAGGGTAACATTTTCTTCAGTTCGCCATCCGCAAGGAAATCCATCGGAACGAGTAATGCGCGAGCTGGGTAGGTTAGTGAGGACTTATTGTACCGACAATCATAAAAAATGGGCAAATGACCTATCGAGTTTTGCAGATTTGCTTAATTCGGTATGTCACGAATCCACCGATTACAGTCCAAACGAGTTGCATTTGGGACTCGATACAAAAATAATATTGCCTTTTTTATCAAGGACCTCCAAACAACGAATTGCATAAGATCAATGCAGCAGAAAAATTTATTCTACCAAAGAATATGCTTATGGGAAAGGCTAAAAGCAGAAATATCTCTTACCCAAGTAAGCCGTATAAACCGTTTAAGGTTGGGGACTTGGTTTTATTAAAGGCGAATAATACATCTTCACTGATAAGAGCTGAAACAAAAAAGTTCTTATTGTTATTCAAGGGACCGTATAGGATTAAAAAGGTTATTATTCCAGTTACATATCTTTTGGAGTAACGTGATAATAACAGGGAGCGATGAACATTTCATGTATGCCATGTAAAGCCTTTTTATGAATAATCGTTCAGTTGAATATTTTTCCAATAAATATTGTTGGTTATTGGAAAATAAGTTCAGAATTCAGGGGGAACAAGTTGTAGCAAAATTCCCTATTTAGTTAGTGGGTTACCAAAAATTATTCATATCCATGTCAACCAATAAATAATCAAAATTGAACTAGAACCCTGTGGGGAATTTTGATATTTGTGATTTTTTACATATATACTCATTGCCCCTGGTTTAGGTATGTATACTAAATTATTGTATAATTTATTTTGTGTTAATAGGTATGTTTATTAGTTTAATAAATTCATCAACACACTAACCTGTGTCTGAAAGTTCCATAAACGCTTTGAGACTGATAGTCTCCGGGCCCTTATCTTGTTACATGTGTGACATATAGCTGTGTTTTATTTATTTTTTATAGGTGGCAGTAAATGTGTTAGGAATCATCGAGTTATAGATTTAAAATTAAATAATCACTAAATTATGGTAAATGAATAAATGGTAAATGAATAACTCGCATCCTATTTGGACACAAAAGTCAAACCATCTAATTAAAAGAGAAAACAAAAACTTTAAACGATTTAAATAATAGCATATTCGTTCAGTGCGAATAGTCCAGTAACTGAAGACCTGAAAATATGCACAGCTGTCATTAAGTCGGTTCAGATTTCCTTTGTGGCTCAATTCTTAGGTCTTGAGGTTGCTTTTAAGGGCAAAAACTTTTACCGACACTGCTAGGTCGGAAAGGGCTCAAAATGGCCCCTAAAGTCCGAAAAAATGGTTTCCCGCTAATATCTGCCAAAATATACAAATTAGACAATTTTTGTTTAGATAAAAAATGAAGATCGTATCATTATCTACAAAAATGGTCCCAACCATTTTTTTCGCAAGACGAATATTTTTGGAAAAACGGCCTTCGAAAAACCCCGAATTTTTGCACTGAATAGAAATGTTAGTTTCTCACTGCATTTATGTTCGTGGGAGTTGGGAATACATTGATTTTCATGTTTTGGACTTTGGAAACCAATTGTAGATGGCGCCAGCGGCATACCTCTGCTCACTAAATTATAGGGCCTATGAATGGAAATCTAGGCACCAATCGATCTTTCGACAATTATTGGCGGATTCTACGGGATTTTTTCTGTAAAGTAGCGCTTGGGGTATCTCATCTATATTGCCGAATGTTCTGTGTAATTTGCGTTGCAAAATTTAATAGAAAAGTGCAAAAAAATTTTTTAGACCCTTTATATTTTCTGCGTCTTGCAAAATTTTCGCCAACTTCTATCGGAACAACATAGGTCCAGGATTTCAGAAAAATAAGGAAGTTCCTGAAAAATTTCTTTTATTATGAAAAACATGTTGAAAATACGAAATGCATAGCAATGCTTATAATTTATCATACGTTAAACCAAATCTTCTAGAATTGCCGCTAAAAGCTCTGTATCTAAAGGGCTTTCTATTTTATGTTTGTTTTAACCTAAAAAAAAGAATAACATTAGTAGAAATAATTATATGATAGATATAGCAACAAGAGACTTACCTCAACCCCAAATCTTCGATATATATTCCACTTTAATTCATTTGTAATAAATATAGAAAAGAAAACTAATCATTGTTTATTATTGTACTACTTGAACCCAGAATCGTGAATTTTCTTTAAATATACGAAAGAAATATATAACAACCGACAATAACGACTCCAAAAACAACAGAGATTGTATACCAACAAAAGAAGACGATTAAGGTGAGCGACATTAACCTTTAACTTCATTAGGCAACTTTTCGTACACTTTTTTGTAAATACTGTTGCCTAATTACCTATTCTGTGTACATATTTTAATATTTTTTTATTAAATGTACTTACTTTTCTTTGGCTGAAGTAATAAAAAAATATAACATTACTTAATGAATATTTTCACTTGGTATAATAATCAAAATACTTTTATTAAAAGCAAAAAAAAAAAATTTCAACTATGAAATCTAATAAAAACAAGACTGTCAATACACGAAAATCGCCCTTTAGTACATATTTTAGTTGGCGATGCCGTCACGCACGAAGTAAAATAAGGAGAAAGAGAAATGTGTTTCTTTATTTCAACTCTTTTGGATCATCCTCTGATAATGGGACATTTTACAGATACGCAAATTTAAATATAAATATATTACAATGAATTAAACATAGGGACATACGCATAAAAGACAGTGAACACTGCCCACACCACTACATACGACAGACATAGATTGATATGCTACGAGCGACAGCATTCTCGATCTGTTATGTAAATGTTCCTGTTATACCTTGTTCAATTAACTATTAGTTATATTGGGTATACCGTAAAGTAAATAATAAATGTTAAATGTCTTTGAGTCGCTAGTTGCTTTATAAAAGAAAAAATATATATAAAAACCAAAATAAAATACTCTGGGTCAGTATTACAAAAATGTTTCTCAGTTACAAGTTTTAAACCAGAAGCCATCATCAAGCCTTAACAAATTTGAATATAGTGATACATAGTATGTAGTTAAAGGACATCAAATAAAGATAAAATGACTAGCATGAATAGTCAAAGAAAAATAAGATATGCGATAAAAAAATAATCCAAATGAGCTAAGAAATAAAACTAGAATTAATTAAATATTAAAGCAAACGGAGTTACTATAATTATCGTAAATTCGTTATGGGGAATATTAGTATCCCAATTTTGGGAGTCTTAAAGAAAGCCGCCTGTTTTTAATTCGTTTTTTCTTTGTTTCCCCTCGTATATCTTTGGTTTACGAGTAACTAAAATAAGTATGGGCCACCCCGTATCACCATTTTTTAATTTCAGTACCAGCAGGTATAGCTAAACTTATTTCTTAAAACCGAACTTATACAGGGTGTTTCATATTGATATACAAATATTTTATCTACATTAAAAATTAATGATAGTTTACATTATGGCTATGGCTAAAAATGTTCAGTTACAAAAATAAGGGATACTAAAATTAAAAAACAAAAAATAGGAAAGATTAATTAATATTTTAGTGATATTTAGTATGCATTGACAATTAATAAAGGTACGTGTTTTTGGTTTTTGTATAAAAAGAATCAGCTTTAACAGTGGCGTAAATCATTTGAGAAATAAATGATACGCTCTAACTTGACAAAACGGGCCCTAACCTAGTTTTTCAAATATCCGTAACCTTAGCCCAAATTTTTCTTAGTAGATCCCCATGAAGTGAACTAGTAAACTACAAATTTAGATTTAGAGTTCAATGTAGCTTTAATAGAGGAAGAACAACGTAAACACAGAGATGAATTATGAATAGTTTCTTTTTAACAGCTATTCTTTTGTACAGCCGAAAATTTGGATTATGTGCCGTTTTTAGGCCTAACATTATTTTTATGTATACTTCCAATGTGTCATTTCTTACCGCTGAGCTTTTAGTTTCCATAAAGAGTAAAATAAAAGTTTGAAGTACTTTTGTATATATGTTAGCCTCCCAATATACTATCATACATTTTTACGGAAATGCGGAATTACGCATTGTCTAAGAATACAGCGGTAGCACGAAGAGTTCCACGAGGTTAGAATATGTATTATTATTATGTGTAAAACCTTCACCGTTC